ATGTAAATTTTTGTGCTAAATGACATCCGAGGGTTTAAAAACCACCTGAAGCGGCGGGCACACGTACGCTAAAGTGAGCAAACCAAAGAATTGAGGGACGAAAAGTGGACTTTTCTCTTTAATCAACGTTGAGCGAGCTTCCGTCCGCATCATCTCATCAAGGTTGGCCAATGGCGTTTCTGGGAGGATCATTGCGCGTGCCGAAGAGCATTAGCAGGCGGAAGATGATGGAGGGGAAGAGCTACGACGGGTCGGGGTTGTGGCGGCAGGCGCCGCTGCCCGTGAGGCAGCTGTTCTGGAGGGTGAGGCGAGCCATGCTGCAGCCGAAGCGCCGCGCCATGAGCTTCGGGTACGACATCAAGAGCTACTCCCACAACTTCGATGATGGCCTCGTCCCAGCTCACCGCCTGTAGCTGACACCCGCGGGGTCTTCTTCTTCTTCTTCTTCTCAATTTTACTTGCCGCCCAGCCGGACCATGGCTCGAGGCTAGAGGTATTGCAGCGTCGTCACCTTGTGATTTGTTCCTCTCTAGTTTTTTTTGAAACGGAGGCAAAAGCTTTGCCTCATCCATTAAATAAGAGAGAATAGAGTTTGTTACAAGCCACCGAAAAAACGACATGTGGATTACTCGCGCGCAATAAAAGACCCTAATTTTTTAGCTCCGGCGATGACCCAAAGGTTTGCCTCGGTTCAGCTACGTGTATATTAGACAGAACTGTTACCATTGTTCTTCAGATCTAAGATGTGAGGTGTCGTCGAGGATCATCGCCATCGCCCGAACAAGCTGACGGAAGGGCCATCGCCATGAAAGTCCCTCGTAGATGTGAGGTGTCGTCGAGGATCACAATGATAGAACTTTGCAAGCAGCCTAACACATCGCACATGTGCGCGTACCGAGCCCCATGGCACAACTCAAGAGCGTCCACGGTCAACAAGTGACACCAAACACGAAACTTGGCTGGGAGCTCTTCCACGACAATTCAAAATGACTGGACAGTTGGGAGGCATCTCGCACCATCTATGAGCCAAGATTAACTAAGACATCACCAAGAGCACGGACCTCGCTGCAACACATCTGCAGATATGGGAGGGTCTTGAGCCTGCACATCAACAGGGGCGAGACACCTTCAGGGGGAGAAACAGATGGCCGCAGGTCCAAAGGCACCACCGTCGAACCCAAAAGGAAACGACTGAACATATTATTTAGATCTAAAATAAAAAGCTCCCAAGAGAAGAAGCACTGAACAAAAAAAAAGCTAGTTTTTTTCATGGGTGGAGAAAGAGAGAGAGAGAGAGAGAGAGAGAGAGAATATGTGTGCATGCAGCACTCCGTCCATCTCTACCTTTACCAGAAGAAAAACTACTATCATGGATTTCTATCGGAGTGTATTGCAATATATTCCTGTAGCAAAATATTTGGTACCTTTATATTGGAAGTCAGCACAACAAGCTTGTTGCGAGACGAAGGGCAACCGATGTTCGGGTAGGTACACGTGCTGTTAGAATTTCCGCTTTTTATGCTTACTGTGGATAATGGATATATAGGACATGACTGTGGTGCGTGTAAAGTGGCACGATGCAGCCACCGTCTTTCTTCTTCTCCGCCCTTTGTTTCTTTTCCGATGAAGATTTGTCCCAACGAACTATATCATAATGATCGGGTATATGGGTTGTCATTAACCAAGACCACATGGTTCCATCGTATCTTTGTTGACACATCAAGAGTATTTGCCTACGTGCCAATCTTTCCGGTAATGTGGACGGCCAAATTAAAATCGGGCGATACGCGAACTTGAGCACCAACATGCGATCCAGTGATTCTTCTCTTGTGACCTTTTGATACAACACTATTTAGAACTAAAAAAACACTTGTCGTGGTATGGAAGCACCAACGCTTGTCGATAAATGCCTCAAGCGAAATTACTTTTGAGTATGCATCTGTGTCGACACGGCACGAGGGTTCCACCGACCCTCTGGTGTTTCTTTTTCGGTAATGTTTAATTAGGTTTAAGTGGACTTTGGCCGGCGGTTGACCGGCCACTTATGTTTAATTATGTTTATCTCTGCAAGCTTGTTTTTTTCCACGTCGGCACATTTAGATCCGCCTCCCGTTGGGCTGTCAAGCCGACCCATTTGAGAATGCGGACGCGCACGTCCGCCTGGCCGTCCAACGGGGCGACCCAAACAGACGCGCCGTTTGTCCGTTTGAGTCGGCGCCCTGGCCTCACGAACCGGGACTGATGCACCCTTTGGTCCCGGTTCGTGAGTGAACCGGGATTAATGCCCTTATCCTGGCCTCAACCAAAGCCCTGTTTTCTACTAGTGACTCATCACCGCTGCTCTCTCATATCATTCCATTTGGAATTATGAGAACATCACCCGGAAATACGCACCTCACCATATTTCTACATATAGACCATATAGGGTGTGAATAGTTCTCAAACGACAACATTGCCACCACAGCGGGTTGTCATCACTTACCGCGCCAACTTTCAGTTGGCCTCCATTTTTTCCTCGGGCAGTTTAGTAGAAGTAAGCAGAAAACCACCTGAAGGCAAGAAGCTCGTCCAGTCCAACGAAACCAAACTGGAGCAGTCGCAGGAGAGCCACTTACCCAACGGCGATGAAGATGAACTTAGAGATGCACATCAACACGACATGTTAATATCTAGCTTGTATAAGCAATATCAGAGACATCTCATCAAAAAACCATGGGAAGGACTACTTAAACCTTTCATTTCCTGTACGAACCATGGGACCAACATTATCAAACCTAGAACATGTATCTCTACTAGTAAAGAGGAGTTCAGGAACGTAGACTGTACATTGTATCCTTCTTTTAATTATGTGAAGTGAAATCGGTTCTTCGAAATAAGTGAAATCATTTTTTGAGTTCATTGAAATCAGTACTTTGAATTAACCAAAATCAATGATATAAACTTGTGATATCTCTTTCCTTGAAATGAGTGAAATATGTTGTTTAAAAATAGTGAAATCGGTTCTTTGAAATAAGTGAAATCAATGATTCATAAATTAGTGTAGTGAAATCTTTTGTCTTCGAAATGAGTAAAATATGTTGTCTTAAAAAAGTGAAATCGGTGTTTTAAAATGAATGATATATGTATTCTTATACTAGTGAAATCGGTCTTTCTGAGAATGAGTGAAATTATTCTTGTTGAATTACATGGAACAATTCTTTTGAAGTGGGTCAAAACAATGTTTCTGAAATGAAATCAGTGTTCTGAATATTGAAATGAAATCAGTGTTTTTAATTAATGAATGAAATCTATTTTTTAAGAAATGAGTGAAATATGTGTCATGAAGTTTTTAAATCATTCAAAATATATTCAAATCTGATCTTGTTTTAGCGATCTCGTCGCCTGGAATTCCAATATTTAAAAAGATTTTTGAATAATTTTTTATTCAAAAGATATGAATGAATTAATATTTCACAAGAAAAATGAAAAGCTAGTTTTCTTAATGGGTGGAGAGAGAGAATATGCGTGCATGCAGCACTCCGTCCTTCTCTTCCTTTACCAGACGAAAAACTACTATCATGGACTTATATCGGAGTGTATTGCAATGTATTTCTGCAGCAAAAAATTTGGTACCTTTATACTGCAACTCAGCACAACAATCTTGACGCGGAGACGAAGGGCAACAGATGTGCAGGTAGGTACTGGTGCTGTTAGAGTTTCCGTTTTTTATGTCGATTGCTAGGTTTTTTTAACGATCTCGTCACCCGGAATTCAAATATTTAAAAGGATTTTAGAACAATTTTTTATTCAAAAGATATCAATGAATTAATATTTAATTTCACAAGAAAAATGAAAAGCTAGTTTTTCATGGGTGGAGAGAGAGAGAGAAAGAGAGAGAGAGAGAGAGAGAGAGAGAGAGAGAGAGAGAGAGAGAGAGAGAAGATGTGTGCATGCAGCTCTCCGTCCTTCTCTACCATTACCACACGAAAAACTACTATCACGGACTTCTATCGAGTGTATTGCAATGTATTTCTGCAGCAAAATATTTGATACCTTTATACTACAAGTCAGCAAAACAATCTTGATGCGGAGACGAAGGGCAACAGATGTGCCGGGAGGTACTGGTGCTGTTAGAAGTTCCGCTTTGTATGTCGAATTGTCGATTGCTAGGTCTGCACAAAAGTTGAAACTGGTAGGGCTGTACAAAAGTAGAAAGTGCTTACTGTGGATAATGGATATATGGGACATGACCATACGTGGTGCGTGTAAAGCGGCACGATGCAGCCATCATCTTTCTTCTTCTCCTGCCTTTGTTTCTTTTCCAATGAAGATTTGTCCCAACGAACCATATCATCATGAACGAATATATGGGTTGTCACTAACCAAGACCACATGATTCCAGTGTATCTTTATTGACACATAAAGAATATTTGCCTCGTGTCAATCTTTCCGGTAATGTGGACGTGGACGGCCAAATTAAAATCGGGCGATACCCGAACTTGAGCACCAGCATGCGATCCAGTGCTTCTTCTCTTGTGACCTTACAACACTATTTAGAATTAAGAAAACATTGGTCGTGGTATGGCAAGCACCAACGCTTGTCGATGGATGCCTCAAGCGAAATTACTTTTGAGTATGCATCTGTGTCGACACGGCACGATGCTTCCACCGACCCTCCTAGGATACTGTACCTTTGCCTTTTATGGGAGTGAGATTCCATCACCACGTCGATGTGTAGTGTAGGGTCACAACGGGAAAAGATGCCGGAAATGTGGTTTTTTCCATGGGCTGATCGTTGTGTAAAGTTGATTTTCCTCGTCAGCTAGCCATGAGTGCACGTGGGTGGTGGCAGGCCCGTCAGTCATTCGGCGTCGGCGTCGGATCCCTATCCATTTGGCGGGCTTATAAAACGGCTACTGAGGAGCCCCATTTGTGCAAACGGTGCCTCCATCTCAGATCACGAGCAACCTAATCAAGAAAGAAGAGCAGCAGAGCCATGTTTAATCACTCGTAAAGGACCAATGGCGTTTCTGGGAGGATCATTGCGCGTGACGAGGAGCATTAGCAGCCGGAAGATGATGGAAGGGAAGAAGAGCCACGGCGCGTCCGGGTTGTGGCGGCAAGCACCGGCGCCCGTGAGGCAGCTGTTCTGGAGGGTGAGGCGCTCCATGCTACGGCCGAAGCGCCGTGCCGTGAGTTTCGGGTACGACCTCAAGAGCTACTCCCAGAACTTCGACGACGGCCTCGTCCCTGTCCACCGTCTCTAGCGACACCCGTAGTTTATTCTTTTTCTTCTTCTTCTTCTTCTTCTTAATTTTACTTGCCGCCCGGCCGGATCATGGCTCGAGGCTGGAGAGTTGAAGCGTCGTCACCTTGTGATTTGCTCCTCCTCTAGTTCAGCTACGAGTGTATATTAGACTGTACTGTTCATACACAAGTTGCTTACTGCTGGAAGTCCGAAACTGCCAATGAAATGACAGTGTATCTATGTAGTCTGCAAGCCGCGTCACTTGCAGTAGTGGAATGGGATTTAAACTATTTCTGTTTATGTCGCCCAAGAACACACTCTCGCTACTGCTGTCATTTTATTTCTGTTTATGCTAGCGAAGATGGTGGGAGCAAATATTTTTTATCAACTATTGTTTTCAGATCTTACCATTGTTACAGAATATGTTCACTCCTTATCCAGGAGGCTGGAAGACTGGTCATCATAGATTTTTTGTTTAGAACATATTGATCCAGTTTATAATGGAAACCGGATAAAAAACTGAGCAATTTGACACCGTTTGTGAGAGAAACCGGGCCGAAAACTGTACAGGCAATGCCCGGACAAGGCATGCCTAACTAGCAGACGGAAGGGCCATCGCCATGAAAGTAACTCGTAGATGTGAGGTGTCGTCGAGGATCACAATGCCAGAACTTTGCAAGCAGCCTAACACACCGCACAGGCGTGTGTACTGAGCCCCACGGCACAACTCGGGAGCGTCCACCGTCAACGAGTGCAACCAAACACGAACTTTGTCTGGGAGCTCCTCCAAGGCAATTCAAAATGATTGACAAGTTGGGGAGGCATCTCGCACCACCTATGAGCAAAGATGAACTAAGACATCATCAAGAGCACGGAGCTCGCCCCAACACATCGGCAGACATGGGAGGGTCTTGAGCCTGCACAACAACAGGGGCGAGACATCTTCACTAGGGGGAAACAAATGACCGCCCTGCGGCGCCAAAGGCAGCGCCGCCGAACCCAAAAGCAAACCACTGAACAACCACCATCGACCCCAAGCCGGCTGCACCACCACCACCATCAAACCAACACCGGCTCCTCTGGCTGATCCCTACTCCAAAAATGATGTCCACAAGAGGGGAACGGCGCAAGGCGCTGCCATCATCCGGTCTGATAGAGCATGGATATGAGGTTTCCTCGGACCAAGGGATGACAGGGGAGAGGAGCACATCACCATAGCAGCGGCCTCAAGAAGGTAGCGACGCCCACGACTGCCACTGCTGTCGCCTCCGGCCATAGCCGGAAAGAGACTTTCGCCTAACATCGTCTCCTATGCCTGTGAGTAGACCAACCGGTACAGACTCCCTTCAAAGCTATAAAATTTATCCAAGTCAGTATCGATCGCGTATGACTTGGATATATGCACCACCAACAACGCCTGTCCTTTATGTGATGTGTTGATTAGCCAATTGGATTATGCTCGTGGGAAGCTTACTATAGATATATCGCTTCAAACACTATTTCTTTGTCTTTAACTACTATCTGCTTTTCACACGAGGTTACCAAGACGTCGGGAAGTTGCTCCAAGTAGATAGATACCGAGGGCAATCGAGTGCACTCGACGTGGTATATCCCATATTCCTTGTTACTACCATTGCTAGGCTCGCAGGTAGAACTAAAGCAAAATCAAAAGCTTGAGCGTTTGTTCCCCAAACTAGAAGAACATTATTTTGTCAGTTCATCTTGATTATTGGTGCAATGTTGTTTACATTGTTTACGTCAGGATAGGATCATGAGTTCTCCGAGACTGTTTGGTGTGTTCGGTGCAATGGTGTTCAATGGTTTTTCAAGTTGGTGTTGTTCCATTCTTGTTCGGTAGTCTCGGTGGCTTCTTGTTAGGTCTGGCCGTTTTTGTGGCCTTCGCTATCTTTTCTATTGTCGTTTTTCTTTGACCTGCTTATATATGAGGATTTCTTCGCTAGGTTTGTATAGAAGTAGAAAGTGCTAAGTCTGTTCAAAAGTTGAAAGCATTTACTGTTGGTAGCGCCATGCCATGCCCGTGTGTCGGTGCAATTATGAACTTGAAACCGACACCGTATCCTGAAACTTAACTGAACAATAGAGATATGCGGCACAACCGTCCTATCATGGGAGCCTATGTGCAATACACTCCGATAGGGGCCTATGTGCGATCTTTCCGGTAATGTGGACCGCCAAATTAAAGTCGGGCGATATCCGAACCTGAGCACCAGCAAGCGATCCAGTGCTTCTTCTCTTGGGACTGTTTGATATAGCATTATGGGTTAATTATCCTTTTGCTCTCAGTGGTGTCCATGCACTCAGTTTTGCCCTCAGTTGCGAATTGTGCTCAGTGTTGCCCCTAGTTCATGCGCAACTACTATGACGAGGCCAAACGGCAAGATTCAGTCCATTCCGTCGGCCGGCTTTAGTGGTAGTGGGTCCGGAGCTTACACGTGGGACCGCTTGGATGTAGGTTCGGAGCTGACATGTGGGACCATGCAAAAATAATCCCCAAATCAATCCTAGGGTTCTAATAACCTGCCACTCGATGCGCCCACTTTGTCCCGTCCGCCGGCCGGCCGTCTTGCGCAGCCGCCAGCACCTGCGCCGCCACCAGCTGCGCTGCCGCGGCCGCGGCCGTCCTGCTCTGCCCGCCACCTTCCTGCGACGCCATGGGTGGGGCGCCCGCCACCTACTCGACCCGCGGCGCAGCCTCCTTCCGTGCACCTGGCAGAAACGCTAATAGGTGGGAGGCTGGTGGAGCTGTTTGAAGCACGAGGGTGAACCCCAGGGCGAAATGGCGAGCAACGGCGACCCCGGAGTATTTGGCGAGGCAGGCATCATCAGGCCAGAGATCCGCCGCGTCCACAACTGGGTTCCCGAGGGGTAAGTCACGCCTCCTGTTTAGATTGAGCTTAGTTGTGCATTTGAGTAGTCGATTCGAGTTGGTTTGCCCGGTTAGTGTGTTCATTGTGTCTCTATTTTTCGTCGGTTAGGATGGAGTTGCGGTTTGCTTTCTTGGTGCACATTAGAAGGGACAGATACATGTTGAATGCAAAGAATAAGAAGAAATTCCAAGGAGGTTTCGATTATCGGTTGCCAATGGCTTGTAATTGGAGTTTCAGAAAATTTGGGGAGGTAATTTGTAGCCAATATCCTTGGGGTTTGCTTGATGAAGTGGAATACAAATACTATGATGGGGAAAATAAATGGGTGACAGTTAGTAATGATGAAGAGCTGGCTATCATGTTTGCTAGGCATAAGGAGAAAGAGAATTTTTCATGTGAGGCTGCAAATTGATGTGATTGAGCAGGCATTTGGACCTAGGATGGCCGGTGCAACATCTCGTGGAGAACCAAGTCGTCATAATGGCAGCTCTAGCCAGAACATTTCAGTTGGTGCACGACAATGTGGTGGCTCGACAAGCGTAGGCACTGGCAGTAGGGTCCCCCTTGAAGTGGAGCCTGATTCCTATAATTCTGGGGTTGATGAAGAGAAGCTATATTATGATGTTATTCAGAATTTACGACGGGCACCTCGGGCTGAAAACCAAGATGAGGCTTAGAATGCAGTCCGTGTGGATGATGATGCAGTGTGTGAGGACAAAGACCTTGCAGTTGTTGAATGGGACCCTTTGAACCCTCATATGGAAGAAGGTACCTTTTTGCATCCATGACTGAGTGTAAAAATGCACTTGTGCAGTACTGCATCAAGGTAGAACATACTTTCAAAGTTGACAAGAGCGATCAAGTACGTTACAGAGTGCACTGTCCGACTGAGGGTTGTCCATGGAGGATGCTCGCATCTAAAATGCGAAATAGCATGAATGTTCATGTCAAAGTGAACCCTTTTAAGCACACATGCTAGGAATCAACCCTTAAAAATGATACAAACAGTAGAGCTAAGTCAAGATGGGTGGCAGAACAAATAAAGAAGTGGGTGGAAGAAAACCAACAAATGGGTCCAAAGGAATTGCATAAGAACATAAAAGACAAATTCAAGATAAATTTACCATACATGATGTTGTTCAATGGTAAACAACATGCTATGGGTTCTATTTATGGTAACTGGCAGGAAATTTTTCAATTGTTGTATGCATTCAAAGGTGAAGTGGAGAGGACCAGCCTAGTTAGTATTGTACACATTCGGGGGAGTAACAAAGAGCAAGGAATGCTTTAGTAGGGTTTTTGTCTGCTTTGAGGCTTGTCGCCGGGGTTTTTTGGTAGGCTGCAGGCCTTATTTGGCTATTGATGCTACTTTTCTCACAGGATAGTTAGTAGCACACTACTAGGGAAAAGCTTATACACAGAACTTTAGCAGTAGCGCGTGTTAAAAACGGGCGCTGCTGCTAGATAGCAGTAGCACGCTCAAGAAAACCGCGCTGCAGATACAAAAATAGCAGTAGCGCGTCCAAACGTAAAAGTGCTACTATGAAAATTCCCGCTGCTGAGCCGATCGGCTACACATAGTAGTAGCGCTCTTTTGTAAACAGCGCTATCGCTAACTTTGTTGTAGCAGCGCGTTTATTTGTAAGGCGCTACTGCTAACGATAATAAAATAAAATGAAAAACAAGTAGAAAAGTAAATGAAAAATGAAAGAAATAGAAAAAGGAGAAAGGGAAAAAAATAAAATGTAAAGAAAAATAAATGAGAAAAGGAAAAAAGGAGAAAGGAATAGCAGTAGCGAGTTTCAGGAAACGCGTTGTAGCTAACTTAGCTATAGCGTGTTTTCGGAAACGCGCTACCGTTAAGTTTTCACATAAACAGCGGTTCCCCCTCCCCCCGGCCACCACTTCTTCCCCAAATCCCTCGCCCTCGCCGCCGTCTCCCCAATTCGCCGTCGCCCCACTTCGCCGCCGTCTCCTGCCGGCATGGACGCCCGCAACCTCACCGCCTACCCCCCGAGACCGCCGTCATCCTCACCGCCGCCGCCCGAGGCCGCCCTCAGCCTCACTGCCGCCGCCCGAGGCCGCCCTCAACCTCACCGTCGCCGCCCGAGGCCGCCCTCGACCTCACCGT